AAAAAAAAAAAAAAATTACCCTGATCTTGCATGTTGAGATGAATGCCACTGAAAAATGGCGCTGAGGAAAAGGTGTATTTATTGCTAATCGATATATACAATCTGGTGCCATAGAATCAATTTTAAAACACTCTCGTCAGGGGTGACTGGGCGGCTCAGTCAGTGAAGCGTAGGACTTTGGCTCAGGTCATGATCTCCCAGCTCGTGGGTTTGAGCCCCGCATGGGGCTCTGTGCCGACAGGACAGCTCAGAGCCTAGAGCCAACTTCAGATTCTTTGTCTCCCTCTCTCTCTGCCCCTCCCTCGCTTGTGCTCTGTTTCTCTCTCTCCCTCTCTCTCAAAAATAAACATTAACAAATTTTTTTAAAAAGCAAATATGACAAAAATAAACATTTGTTAATTCTGAGTAATAAGTACATGGATTTTTTTTTTAATTTAATGTTTATTTTTGCGAGAGAGAGACAGAATGCAAGTGGCGGAGGGGCAGAGAGACAGGAAGATAGAATCCGAAGCAGGCTCTAGGCTCCCAGCTGTCGGCACAGAACCCAACGTGGGGTTCGAACCCATTAACTGAGATCATGACCTGAAGCCGGATACTTAAACGACTGAGCGACCCAGGCACCCCAGTACATGGACGTTTCTTATAGCACTCTCTATTTTTGGTGTATTTGGTGTATTTGGTGTATTTTGGTGTATTTATCTCATGATAAAAATGTGCTTAGAAGACATTTGTTTACTATCGCCCAAGTTCATGAATCACTTGTCACATCTGGGCAGGGACTGTCCTCCGTTTCTGTCAATTTCAGGCAGCAATTTTTTTTTTTTTTTTTTTACCAGGGCAGGATTTTTTCAAATGTCTTGATCAAATCAGAGAAAATTTCGTGACAAACAAAGTGAGTGGCTGAGGGGTGAGAACGAGAAACACCACAGTAGTCTGGCAGTCCACCTTCTGTGCCCACATGGGGGTCTGGAGGTCGGAACCTGATTTCTGCCTCTGCCACTCCGACTGCTGGTCAAGCTCCATGTTTCTGGGCCTGTAGTCTCGTCGGCAGGAGGAGGAGGTAGGCTACGTCAGTGACTGTCGGACCGCTCACTGAAATACAGATCCCCAGGCCTAAGCCTGAAGATTCAGCAGGTCTGGGGTGGGGCCCAAGACTCTATCTTTAACACGTGTCTTCCTCGAACTGACGAGGGCAGACCACACACACTTCTGCCCTTTGAGAGACACAGGCCGAAATGACCCTGTGTCCCCTCCAGCTCTTACATTCTACTGTAATAGCTTTTAACTTTAAGACAAACATACACAATTTAACACTGGAAGGAAAGTGAAGTGTCAGAAAACTGAAGGAACAGGAGAATGGCTGTAATGATGCAAGAGCAGAAATTGAATATAGGCCTTTCGGATGGACAAATCACGTTTTGTTATTGCATGTATCTGAAAAATAACAAAGTAACAGATCTGTGTGTGCTTTAAGCCTGATGATCTATTTAAAAGAACCACAGAGTTTAGAGTCTCTCAGCCTTTGGAAGCATCACATCTATCTAGGGAGTTTGTTAAGATACAGATATCTGGGGGCACCTGGGTGGCTCAGTCTGGTTGAGTGTCCGACTTTGGCTCAGGTCATGATCTCGCGGTCTGTAGCCCATGGGTTTGAGCCCCGCGTCGGGCTCTAGGCTGACAGCTCAGAGCCTGGAGCCTGTTTCGGATTCTGTGTCTTCCTCTCTCTCTGCCCCTCCCCCACTCATGCTCTGTCTCTCTCTTTCTCAAAATAATAAGTAAACATTAGGGGGAGAAAAAAAAAGGACACAGACATCTGAGCTCCAATCCTAAAGATTTCAACTCCGTGGCTTGAGGTAGGGCCCAGACAGTGATGGTAACACCCAACAAAATTTAAGAATCTGTGTGCCACGTGACTATTCTGAATAGCACTTAGATCCTGATTTTTAAAAATTAATTTATACTCAGATTTTCAGATATACCAAGTACAGGAGAAGACAATCTATTCATTTTCATTTCTTTAGCCCAAAACTTGAGTTATTTCACTCTTTTTGAAAAAAATTTTCCCTCACCGAAACCTTATTCCTTTAGCCTCTGTGACAAAAAAAAAATTATGACAAACTTTTGTCGAGAGTACAGTGGCTGCTCCTTGTAGAACAGTTTAGTGACAGAAGTCTCAGGGGCCCCTTAAACGGGTTTTTAAAGGCTCCTGGTAGTACGTACTTGAATGAACTGGTAGAAGAAAGGAAGGTGCTAGATATTCAAGTCAGATGGTGTGCCAGCCCTTTAGGAAACAGCCTGAGTTCCTTATCTGAACTTTCCCTGGGGCTGGACTAGCTTCCTGGTGAGCAGACACCTCCCTGGGCAGACTGGTCTCCTAGTTTTATGTAAAATCTCCGGACTGGAATTAAGAAAGGATCTCTAAATTTTAAATTGCCATTTTTTTAATATGAAATTCATTGTCAAACAACACCCAGTGCTCATCCCAGCAGGTGCCCTCCTCAGTGCCCATCACCCACCTCCCACCCTCCATCAACCCTCAGTTTGTTCTCACTTTTTAAGAGTCTTATGGTTTGGCGCCCTCCCTCTCTCTCTCTCTTTTTTTTTTTTTCTCCTTCCCCTCCCCCATGGTCTTCTGTTAAGTTTCTCAGGATCCACAGAAGAGTGAAAACATATGGTATCTATCTTTCTCTGCCTGACTTATCTCACTTAGTGTAACACTCTCCAGTTCCACCCACGTTGCTACAAAAGGCCAGATTTCATTCTTTCTCGTTGCCACGTAGTATTCCATTCTGTATATAAACCACAACTTCTTTATCCATTCGTCAGTTGATGGACATTTAGGCTCTTTCCATAATTTGGCAATTGTTGAAAGTGCTGCTGTAAACATTGGGGTACAAGTGCCCCTATACATCAGCACTCCTGTATCCCTTGGGTAAATTCTTAGCAGTGCTATTCAGAGTGGCTGAAATGAACAATTCAGGAGACTATAGATGTTGGAGAGGATGGGGAGAAACAGGAACCCTCTTGCACTGTTGGTGGGAATGCAAACCAGTGCAGCCACTCTGGAAAAGTGTGGAGGTTCCTCAAAAAATTAAAAATAGATCTACCTTAAATCGCTGTTTTTTTAATGGCAAATTTATGGGCCAAACCTATGTACCTGTCCCAGCCTATCCTTTGGGGTGATGTAAGAATACAACTACTTCTATGAGGAAACACTATAAATAAAGATGCGTTTGGTGGAAAAATAAAAGCCACAGCCCATTTGCATCCTCAAACAGCATGCAGAGGCCTCAGACTGGGGGTCTGTCCCATCCTGAACACCGTGCTATTGAGGGGTCCCCCACAGACTCTCCCCTCGGAATTTGGCCCCTGCTTTCCCCGGTCACTGAGAGCCTTCAGGGAAGCCAGGTCCTAATTCTTTTATAGGAACCCATGGTATGCAGAGCTCTGGGACATCAAGGCAGAAACAGGACCAGGCACCTTTGTTCCATAAGTGATGTTCAGCACAGTGGCCAATAGCAACTGCCTCAACAATGGTTTTTCTTTCTTAAAGATCACAGACATAGAATTCTCTGGAGTTCATAGATGGATATGAAATAAGCATCATTCAAGACAAACACAGCCACTAACTCCATCATAACAAGTTCCCTTTAGAGTTTTAAGTGAATGCTTCTGACCCCAAGTCTTAAAGGAGTTCTTCTAACAAACCCATCCTTGAAATGAGATCTATTAGGCGAAGGATTTGAGAAACATGTACTCTGAAAGACAGCGTATGTTTAAAGACTCACGTTATGAGGAGAAAGTGTACCGTGAAGCAGGAGGGGAAGCTGAGTCCAACAGACCCCTTCCAAAAGAGGGCACCATGCCTGGGTCAGGGGAAGAGAGCTTCTTCCCTTCTGACGGAGAAGCAGCACTGAGCCCACAACAGCTCTACGGCCAGGGTCTAGCAGTTCTGCAGAAGTCCCCACCTGGCTGGAGGATTAACCAAAGACAGCCACAGGGGGCCAAGAAAGTCCAAGGCCACTAATTTTTCAAGATCACCTTTATGGTGAAAGACTGAATGTTTTCCCTCTAAGAGCAGGGACAAGACAAGGGTGTCTGTTCTGCCACTTCTACTCAGCACTGTTCTAGACACTCTAGCCACGAGACTTAGACAAGAAAAATCAACAAAAGGCATCCAGCTTGAAAAACAAAAAAAGTAAAACTATCTCTTTGCAGAAGACATGATCTTGTATATGGAAAATCCTAAGGCACACACAAAACTAGTAACTTAATAAATGAATTCAGCAGAACTGCAACACATGAGAGGGACATATGAAAATCAACTGTATTTCTACATGTTACCAATGAACAATCTAGAAATGAAATGTAAAAAACAATTCCACTTATTATAGCATCAAAAAGAATATTTAAGAATAAATTTAACCAAAATAAATGCCAGACTTGTGTTCTGAAAGCCACAAAACCACTAAAAGGACTCTAGTAAGACCTAAACAAATGGAAAGATACCATGTTCATGGATCGGAGACTGAATGTCAGGGTGGAACGCTCCCCGAAACAATCTACGTTCACTGCGACCCCTTTCAAAATCCCAGCTGGCTTGTGTGCAGAAACTGACAAGCCGATCCTAAAGTTCATATGGAAAGGCAGCGACCCAGAAGAGCCAAAACAATCTCGAAAGAGAACAAAGTTGGAGGATTCACACTTCTGACATCACATCTTACCAGGCAGTCAAGACAGCACAGTACTGGTATAAGGACAGACACATGGATCAATAGATTAGAACTGAGATCCCAGATATAAATCCTTACATTTAAGGTCAGAAAGGACGGAGAGCAGGTGATGGTTGGTAGGGGCCAGGGGAGGGGAGGACGACAGTGTCTGCTAACGGGCACACGGTTGCTTTGTGGAGTGACGGAAACGGTCTGCAGTTAGTGGAGACACCTTCAGGACTCTCGTGCACTGGAAACCACTTTAAAAGCGTAAAGTGAATGTGAATTATAGATCAATAAAGCTTTTTTTTTTTAATGACAAAAAAAAATCAGCTTTTATGTCAAAATATGGAGTAAGATTAGGTACATAAGAATCAGGGCCCTCTTCAGCTTTCAAGCAGCCCACTTACCCTGAATAGTGTAAATGAAACCACCTGCAACTCCCTCCACACCTTCCATGAATCCATGAGGCAAGGCGCCCTCCCCAGCCTGGAAGAAACAAGAACACAAGTGCTCAGCGTTTCAATGCTAAAAATACATTTCTCCTACTTTAAAACTGATCTGGCAAAATCGATAATTGACGCCACAGCAGCTAAATCCACCTATGAAGCTGATGCGCTAGACTTACACGATCGGGACGACCTCAGTATTCTCCTCGTTTTGTCATCCAGTTGCAATACTACATCAGGGGCACATAGCAGTCCATACAGTGTTCAGACTCCAACTTACACGGGACCACATACTCTTGAACTTGCTACAGTAAGAGTATAAAAACCAATCTTCTTTTACATCCCAACCCTACCGCTGGAAAAAAAATTATTACCACCTCTGATTTCTCGGAGAGGAAAACTGATGCATTCAAATGCACCCAGGCCCATTTTTAACCTCGGCTCCACCATGCAGAGAAAAGCCCCTCTAAACAGACCGTTCACATGCAGCCCTACCGATTTCTGATGTGGTGGAAAGTGCCAACCGTCAGCGACGGTCCTTTCTGCCTCTGAGGACTGGAGGACTTTTTATTATTTTTTAAAAATTTTTAAAATTTTATTTTAATGTTTATTTATTTTTGAGAGTGAGAGAGAGACAGAACATGAGAGGAGGAAGGGCAGAGAGGGGGAGACACAGAATCTGAAGCAGGCTCCAGCCTCTGAGCTGTCGACACAGAGCCCGGTGTGGGGCTCGATCTCATGATCCATGAGATCGTGACCTGAGCCGAAGTCGATGATTAACCGACTGAACCACCCAGGTGCCCCTGGAGGACCCTTATTAATCAAAGTTTACCTCTCCCCACCTCACAAGTCCCCCCATGCCCCTGCCTAGGGTGCGGGGTTTCTCGCGTGCTGCACACTTGCGTGGCACAGCCCCCGCCCGGCAGTCGCCATGTTCCCACCTGGGCCAGTTCACAGCACTGCTTCTATAGGCACGGCGGCCGCCTGGCTGGTCCTCTTGCCAACGGACCTTTCAGCAGCTGTGCGCTACAGGGCAGTGTTTTAGGGCCGCAGACAGACACTGTCCTGAGCTGACTGCGGGAACTTGCCATTTAATATATGATACGGTCTGTAGTTCCATGTGGAGGAAACCACTGAAGGTGAATGCTACAGTTTCCAGCTTTGTAGTTCTATGAAAGCTCTCTATTATATACTCTAACACAGAGTAGACTCTATTTTTTCACCGCGTACCCTACATTGTTTTAGTACTTTTTATGAACTTCTACCTAAAAGGTCACAGCTTGGCTTTTATTCTGGCTTTTAAAAGTTTCTGACATTGTCACTTGCTGGCAAGGGAGCAAGACTCATGGAAGCTTCGAGCTTTCTGCATCTACGATGAAAACCTTAATTTTGTACGTGGGGTTTCCTAGAACACGCTACTAAGTTACTGGACTTTTTTTAAGGTTAGCTCAGTGTTTAGGCTTTCTCTAGCTCTCTACAGCTATATGTACCCCCACCATGGATCGTTTGAGTCTTTACATTTGAACCTAGTCCTCAACTCAGAAGTCATCTGTTTCCTTTTATGTAACCAACTTAATACTACAGAATTCCAACACATTTTGGATATTTTTAAGTTTCATAAATAGAAAAGGAGGCAACATGACATATATATAAACATAGTATATATATATAAACATAGTGTATATATATATATATATATATATATACATATATATATAATGTTTATTTACTATTATTTTTTGAGAGAGAGCAAGCACAAGCGGGGAAGTGGCAGAGAGAGAGGGAGACACGGAATCCGAAGCAGCCTCTGTGAGCACAGAGCCTGATGCAGGGTTCAACTCACAAACTGAGGGATCATGACCTGAGCCTAAGTCAGATGCTTAACCAACTGAGCCACTCAGGTGCCCCAAGCAGGCAACATATTAAAGGCACTTGCCTTGGAAATAAGGTAAGAAAAGAATAAAGCTATGATTAAATTCCATAAAACATATATCTTAAACAAAGGACTTTTTGTAATAAAGAACGAGATCCTAAACATGACCCACAAGGCTAAATCTGTAATTATATTTGAATTTGTGGATCTGTCCATCTATTGTCTTTCTTCCTCACTGGAGTAGAAGTCTCATGGTGGGCCAGGAGTGGTTTTCTAAACGGGTGACAACATACCACATAATATTCATTTCATATTCAGGAATTAATTCACGTAAATAAGATTAACATTAATGAGAATATACTAAGCTTCTGAAATGAAATGCCCAGTACTTTCCTAATCCTTGTACCACAGCATCAAGGAGAATGAAAGACTGTGTTTCTGACACCACCACAAACACCACTTGTTTACTGAAAGCTTATCATTTTAGGTCTGCCTATACCTGATCATCCCATATTTACTTTGAGAAATTCACCTGTCACTGATTTAAATTTGAAGCAAATCTGAATAAAAGAAAAACACAAAGCAGAGATTCCAGCACTATAAATGAAAGCGAACGCTCCCTCCTATTTTCAATCTGTGCTTTATTTATTTATTTATTTATTTATTTATTTATTTATTTATTTTTGAGACAGAGAGAGACAGAGCATGAACAGGGGAGGGGCAGAGAGAGAGGGAGACACAGAATCTAAAACAGGCTCCAGGCTCTGAGCCGTCAGCACAGAGCCCGACGTGGGGCTTGAACTCATGGACCGTGAGATCATGACCTGAGCTGAAGTTGGACGCTTAACTGACCAAGCCACCCAGGCGCCCCCGATCTGTGCTGTTTTAACTACCTACTGTGGGCTGACAGTGAATGTTCTAAATACTACTGAGCAAGTGTCCTTCAAGAACGCTAGCTTAAAAATTATTGAGAAATAATATATCACACGTTTTAAAAAGGACCCTATCCTGGGTGCCTGGGTGGCTCAATCGGTTAAGCGTCGGACTCGATCTCGGCTCAGGTTGTGATCTCACGGTTTGTGGGATGGAGCCCTGTGCTGGGCTCTGCGCCGACAGTACGGAGCCTGCTTGGAATGCTCTCTCCCTTCCTCTCTGCCCCTGCCCCACTCATGCTCTGCCCCCTCCCTCTCAAAATAAATAAACTTAAGACAAAATAGAAAGGCACCTATCCTAAGGCAGAACTGTGTATTTACTTGGTTGGGGTCACACGATCGTAGAACATTGGAGCTGCTCAATTTCACTACGGTGACTTGGCACTTTCTGCCGTATGTGCTTTAAAATACACACGATTCGCTGTTCATACTCCCGGGGTTGATGTAAAAGTAAATTTAGAAACACTTCATGTATTAGAAAATGCTGAAGTATGCCGAACAACCTCAGGAAAGAAGGAGGGCTTACCGTCATGACTCTGAGAACTCCCCCGCCATCATTTACTGTCACTTTGTGCAGATTTCTTGACACGAGGCCCTGGAGGTCTTGGCTCTCCCACACGATTGTACCTTCAAAGCTCTTTTTGTGGAAAGATGAAGTAGAGTCAATTTCTTTATTGTTGTCATTGAGGTTTTAAGTATGTTTTTCAAGAAAAATTAGTTTTTTTCCTAAGACCTATTGGTTAAATGTTTATCCCAGCTACTCCGACACTACTGTGGACATTTTTTGGTGTATACTCTCGAGTCATTTTTTTTTTCATGCACATCTGAAAAAAACAAGTACAAAGAGTGTGGAGACAATTTTGCACACTGCTGTTTGCATTTCCCACTACACTGAAGCATCTCCTGAAGCTACCGCAGCTCTTACGACCATCCTTTTTTGTATGTATCTAACATGCCATTTCATGCATGCATCCCAAGTCAAACACCTCCCTGCTGGCAGACATCTGGGCTCTATCAAATATCTAATATGGGTGCCTGGGGGGCTCGGTCGGTTAAGCTTCCGACTTGAGCTCAGGTCATGATCTCATGGTCCATGGGTTCAAGCCCTGCGTCAGGCTCTGAGCTCATAGCTCAGAGCCCGGCGCCTGCTTTGGATTCTGTGTCTCCCTCTCTCCCTGCCTCTCCCCCACTCACACTGTCTCTCTCAAAAATAAACATTAAAAACAAAAAATAAAAAAAAAAAAAGCTAATAAATCACGTTTTGGTGTAAATGTTTATTTTTCCCTAATAGTTTGTTTTGTTTTAAGGTAAATTTTCTGGGGTGAAATTACAGGGACAAGAAATAGAGATATTTTGTATGGATTTTGGACACAATGCCTAGCTGTTTTTTCAAAAGGAAATTATACTAATTGATAGCATCTTTCCCAATTTACAAAAATACCAACTGCACTGTATTCTTCCAAGTATGGGATATTGGTAAAAGCAAAGAAGTTTAATTCAATTTAGTAGATTAAAAAAAACGATTCCTCATTTAATTGTGTTTCTTTTGATTTCTAGTGATGTTTATAAATTATATAGTCTCTTCTGGGAATTCCTGACTCATACTTCTTTGCCATTTAGCTGCTGAGTTTTCTATTTTTCTTATTAATCTGTATTATGTTGTAATCAATAATCCTGTGTATATATTACATGCTAAAACAGTTCTTCAGAATTGTTTGCCACTTAACACTATGGGTTGTTGTTTCTTCTTTTTAAATTAAAAGGTCCATAAGTTTTATCTTATCAAAATTGACAAGCTTTTCCTTTGTGATTATTACTATTAACTTTTGGGCTTAGAAAGTTACACTCCCCTGCCCCAAGGTTTGATACACATTTACATTCCAGTGTCTTCTAATTTCTCAGTGGGGGCTCAGCTGCTCCCTTCTACTGCTCAGGCTACCTCCACGGTCAGCCCCCCAGAGAGGCTTGCTCCAGAGATCCGGTGGAAGGCAGCCAGCTGCCACCTTTGCTCTACTGCATCAGCCTTCTTTTCCTAATACCACTTACCACTCTGCTCTCCCTTGTTTACGTTCCTATTGTCAAACTAACTGCTCCCACTAGAATGCAAGCACCATGAGAGCAGGGATCTTGTCCGTTTACCGTTTTTTTTTTTTTTTTTTTTTTTTTTTTTTTAAAGCATTACAGCTTTTCTGTGGGAACAGATAAAAACACTGACAGAGTCCGGATTCCCCGCACAGTGTGTCACCTTATACTCAGCTAATGGATCCTTCTTCTGCATTGTTGGTGAGACTCCTGATATACGTTGAGCAGCTCCAGGGTTCCTGAGAGCAGGCCCACACTCATACTGCGGGTCGTCACTGCCTGACCGTGACGAAAGAGAAAGCGGTGCCGACCTCACAGGGCTGTGCGCAGGGTCGGTGACAGCACGCACAGCATAGTGTCTTTGCTCAGCACAACAGAACTCTATGACCCCTGGGAGGAACGCAGGCAGTGACGTGCCCCTTTAAAGATCTCACTGTCTTATCTTGGAAACAGGTGCAGATAATTTCTATGTTCTCCCTGGGTGGCCTTAACTCTCTATTCAACTTGACATTGCACCTCAACTCTGTAAAAACAAACAGCAATCCCACAGAAGAAAAGCACACGACCGGGGAGAAATACACCAAATATGTTGGGAAACAGATGGATAACATCATATTCTGTTAGCTTTTCTATATTCTGTTAAGTTTTCAACAGTGAATATGTATTCTTTTGATGTGTTTTCGTACTTTTATGATCAGGGAAAAAAATTTTAAACTAAACAAATGTATACGACGAAATAAATTTGGGGTCAATCTTCTTTCAGGCATGAGCCGTTCCTTAAGTTTTTGAATGTCTACTATGTAGCATGCTGCGGGCTATTCGAAGATGTGAAGAAACGCAATTTCGCTCGTGTCTTCAGATCATCGCCATGTGCCACGACAGGTTCAGTAAAAAGGAGAGCCATCCTGCTCGAGGAGTTTGGACAAAACTTCAAATGACTGTGCCAACGGAGCTAAGTCTTGCAGGCATGTGAGTCAGAAAAGTGAGAGGCAGACGAAATAACACATCGAAAGGCAGACTTGAAAGAGCACCGCACGTTCAGAACGGTGGTAAGTCCTTCGGTATTGCCGAAGCGCAAGGCTGAGGGAAGGACAGGTAAAAGGCAGCCTAAGGTCGCCTGTGGCTGCTGTAATGGAGAGTCTGTCCCTCATCTCGAAGGCGGTGGGAGGCGCGTAAGTTTGCCAGCCCAAGAGTGACACGTCATAGCTGCGATTTAGAAAGGTCACTCGGGCAGCAGCACAGCCCCAGAGCGGCTGGCAGGGAGAAGGGAAACTATCACAGGAGTCCAGGCGAGAACAAGTGAGACTGCCTTCCGAGAAACTGAAGGAGACAGAAATCTATGGAAAAACACTCGAGCTCATAGACTGGAAGCATTAAGGTGGTTAAAATGTCCGTACTACTCAAAGCAGCCTGCAGATTCAATGCAATCTCTACCAAAATTTCAACGGCTTTTTCAGAGAAATACAATAAATAATACTATAATTTGTAGGAAACCAACCAAAAAGACCCCAAACAGCCAACGCAATCTTAACAACGGAGCTAGGGCACCTGGGTGGCTCAGTTGGTTAGGCGTCCGATTCTTGATTTCGGCTCAGGTCGTGATCTCGCGGTTTTTGGGATCAAGCCCCACATCAGGCTCTGTGCTGAGTGCAGGGCCTGCTTGGGATTCTCTCTCTCTGCCCCTCCCCTGCCCCCCTGCCCTCTCTCTCTCTCTCCCTCTTAAATAAACATACATTAAAAAAAAAAAAAAAACAGAGCTGGAAGCATCATGCTTCCTGGTTTCAAACTATATTATAAAGCTATTGTAATCAAGCAGCATGGTTTTGGCAAAAAACTGACACAAAGATCAGTGGAACAGAAGACAGAGCTGAGAAATAAACCCACACACATACGGTCAATTAATTTACAGAAGAGAAGGCAAGAATATACAATGGGGGAGAAGGACAGTCTCTTCAATAGATAGCGTTGGGAAAACGGGACAGCCACATGCAAAGGAATGACACTAGAACACTACCTTGTACTATACACAAAAATCAACTCAAAATGGATTAAAGACATGAACATAAGACCTGATCCCATAAAACTCCTAGAAAAAAATGGGTAGTAAGCTCCTTGACACTGGTCTTGGCGATGATTTTTTGGATTTGAAACAAAAGCAAATGCAACAAAAGCAAAAACAAACAAGTGGGACCACACTGAACCACAAAGCTTCTGCACAGCAAAGGAAATCATTGACACAATGAGAAGGCGACCTATGAATGGGAGAAAATATTTGCAAGGAGTTAATATCCAAAATATATAAAGAACTCCTACAATTCAATAGCAAAACTCCAAATAATCCAATTAAAATATGGGCAGAAGATCTGAACAGACACGTTTCCAAAGACAACATGTAGGCAACAGATACATGAAAAGATGCTCCACATCACTCACCGTCAGAGAATGAGGTTATCCCCTCACACCAGTTAGACTGGTGACTACCGTCAGAGAGACAAATAGAACAAGCGTGTTGACAAGGATGTGTAGAAAAGGGAAACAGTGGCTGTAGCCACGGTGGAAAACAGTATGGAGGGTCCTGAAAAAAGTAAAAATACGACTACCCTACGAGCCGGTAATTCCACTCCTGGGTATTCATCCAAAGGAAATGAAAACACTAACTTGAAAAGATATCTGCGCCACCATGTTCACTGCATATTATTTACAACAGCCAAGACGTGGAAGCAACCTAAGTGTCCGCAGGTGAACAGATGAAGAGAATGTGATGCGCACACATGCACGCACATGCACACACAGAGGAATATTATTCAGCCATAAAAAGGAAGGAAACCTTGCTGTTTCCAACATGGATGGAACTTGAGGTCATCATGCATAAGTGAGGTAAGTTAGACAAAGACAAATACCGTATGATTTCACTTATATGTGGGACCTAAATTTTTTTTAAAAAGCCAAAAACAAAACACTGAGCTCACAGATGCAGAGAACAGATGGGTGGTTGCCAGAGGCAGGGGCTGGACGGATGCGCAAAACGGCAGAAGGGGGTGAAAAGGTACAAATTTCCAGCTATACAATAAATAAGTCCTGGGCATGTAATCATGTGCGGCACGGTGACCACAGTTAATAATGCTGTAATGTGTATCTGAAGATGTCTAAGAGAGTCTACCTTAAAAGTTCTCATCACAAGAAAAAAAAAACGGAACTGTGGAGATGGCCGTGAAGTAGGCTTAGTGAGACCATTTTGCAGTACTGAATCATTATGTTGTACAGCCGAAACCAATACGTTATATGTCAATTACATCTCCATTAAAAAAAAAAAAAGACTGGCTTCTGAGCTGAATGAAATGCTTACATTAAAGGAAACAATGTCTCTAATAACTGAGATGTGCTCTGGGGTTGAAGCTGGTAAAATCAATACCTTAAAACAATGTATCAAGTGGCCAAACCCAAAAAAGCTGGTGAAGAGAGAAATCTGGCAATGTAGCAATGTCCAGTGGGAGAAAGACACAGGAATTGGAAGATATAAAGCTATATCTTTATAAAAGATATAAAGATATAAAG